TCAGCCCTGCGGCCGCAGAAGCAAGCTAGGAAGGGGCTGCCGCTTCCATCAAGTGGGCTTTAAGCCCCAACACCTGGGCGGGCACCAGAAGAGCAGTTATCCCCGGGAGCGCTTGAGGAAAACTGCCTTCATGGCCGCAGATACACGGTGTTTCCCTGCCAGGGGACCTCCTTTGCCGTGCTACCTTCCTAGCGTGAGGTGGTTTTATTTTCCTCACTAACACCTTAATCTTCCCTTGCGGCAACTGCAGACCCCAGCTTCTGCCACTCGGACGGAGAGAAGGACCCAGCCTCACGTCCGAGTCTCCGCCCTCTATGTCCCGGGCTCTCGCCACGCAGCGCGGAGCCAGGAGCGCGGCGCGGGGGCGGGGCAAGGAGACGCGGTGGCTCTGCCCACAGCAGCCGGGGCCCGGCGGGGCGGAGCCGGCCACGGAGACTGGCCGCGGCCATGGCGGAGTGGGGGCGCGGTGAGCGCGGCCGGGGGGAGCCGAGCTTGGATCCTTGCTGGGGGCTCGCGCGGGTGTCGTGCGGTTGCATGGGGGGGCGGTCCCTGGGGCTGCCCGAGAGTGGGGCGGACATGCGGCTGTTTGGTTGGAGGAGGTTTTGCTTTGCCGGGCCCGGCCCGCGTTGGGGGAGGGGGGGATGCCTCCTCTTCCTCCGGCCCCTTGTGCTGTGTGTCCGCCCTCCCACCGCGTTCACCTGCCTGGCCAGGGGTTGCTTGGGCTGCTTGCAGGTCAGAGGCTGGCACTAGGTGTGTTTCACGCCTGCCAGTGCTGCCTAGGTGCTAGGAGTACATCTCTTTTTTTGTATCTCTTGGTGGGGCAGGTATTAGGCAGGAGATGTTTTCAACCGGCCCCTTTGATAACTGGCTCGGTAAGAGCTCCAGGTGCCCTGCCACCCCACTCGTCCTGCAGTGACCCCAGTGGCTTGGGGCATACGTTTGCAGTGGGTCAGCAGCTGCCGATGCAGGTATTTTGTTAGGTCCCTTTTGGCACACTAGCTGGCCTATCTTGTACACGTTGTAGATCCTCGTGTGTCAAAGAAGAACAAATATGTGCTTGTTTGTATGTGGATACGTAGATACACACACCTGTGTGTGTGTGTATATGTATATGTGTATATATATACACACACACACCTGTGTGTGTGTGTATATGTATATGTGTATATATATACACACACACACACCTGTGTGTGTGTGTATATGTATATGTGTATATATATACACACACACACACCTGTGTGTGTGTGTATATGTATATGTGTATATATATACACACACACACACCTGTGTGTGTGTGTATATGTATATGTGTATATATATACACACACACACACCTGTGTGTGTGTGTATATGTATATGTGTATATATATACACACACACACACCTGTGTGTGTGTGTATATGTATATGTGTATATATATACACACACACACACCTGTGTGTGTGTGTATATGTATATGTGTATATATATACACACACACACACCTGTGTGTGTGTGTATATGTATATGTGTATATATATACACACACACACACCTGTGTGTGTGTGTATATGTATATGTGTATATATATACACACACACACACCTGTGTGTGTGTGTATATGTATATGTGTATATATATACACACACACACACCTGTGTGTGTGTGTATATGTATATGTGTATATATATACACACACACACACCTGTGTGTGTGTGTATATGTATATGTGTATATATATACACACACACACACCTGTGTGTGTGTGTATATGTATATGTGTATATATATACACACACACACACCTGTGTGTGTGTGTATATGTATATGTGTATATATATACACACACACACACCTGTGTGTGTGTGTATATGTATATGTGTATATATATACACACACACACACCTGTGTGTGTGTGTATATGTATATGTGTATATATATACACACACACACACCTGTGTGTGTGTGTATATGTATATGTGTATATATATACACACACACACACCTGTGTGTGTGTGTATATGTATATGTGTATATATATACACACACACACACGTACGTGTGTCTGCATATCTAGGTATAGATGGGGGGGTGTATATGCGCACACAGATAATATATCTATAAATAATTGAATCCAAGTTCTCTCAAGATTTGCACTTGTGTAGCTAAGGTAGGATCAGGGTTTGCATGTATATTGGGTGTCTGATGAATTTGTCTCGGATACATATCATACATTTAGGGTGACATTTCAGGGATAAAAGAAACAGGTTCTTAAAATGGTACTCAGAGTCACCTAACCTTCCTTCTCTCCTAACTAACAACGAAGTGGTGGCGGCGCTGCAAACAGAAATCCCAGTTCTCTCATCAGCTCTGATGAGTTCACATGCTGATGTTTGTGTCATAACTGATAAGACTCCTCCTCTCTCTTTCAGGCCAGGGTCAGAACGGTATGGATGATATGTTAGATGTCGAGAACAAGCGTATGGCAGACAGCCTTGCCACCAAAGTCACCAGGCTGAAATCGGTTAGTTACTAACTCCATGTGGTCCATTTTCCTTGCTGTGTTCACTGTGAGAAAGGAGCTGGTTTACACACAGGTGATTTCTTTATTCCATGGTTTGAGAAGATCCAGATATGATGCAGCCTGTGGTGGGTTGCATACTTAACTTGTTCTAATAAAGTAGCTTGGGAAATTTTACCAATTTTCTCATCACCAAAATTGTCTGGTCTTAGTGGCAGCTAGAGAAGGAATTTGATATAAAAAGTAAACAGCAGGGAGGCCAAGGCAGGTAAACATGTCAGACCAGGCGTGCCTTCTGTGGAAGAAAGTTATAAAACCAGGTTAAAAATATTAATAAAAAACATGCAGATACTTTCCATTTTCCTTCAGGAGGGAGTCACGATGATATTTATGGTGATGATAGTCATGGTGTATCCATGGCTATTAAAGGAGTATTCATAGTAATAATTTGCTTCCACTAATGTCAAAAGCCTCAATTAGCATACGTCTCTAATGCACAGACAGCATCATTAGCAAAAAACCAGAATCTGTGTTCTGTTACTGCTTCATGATTGGCATGGTCATTTCATGTACAGAAGCTTCCAACTAGTTGTAGACCTTTATTTCCAGTGCTGCAAAGCTCAGGAATTTATATAATCTTAAAATATAGGCAGAATCTCCCTCCTCCCCCGTCTTCTTTTTTTCATTGCACAGAGCAAACATAGCAGTGTGTAATGTGTAGGAGGCAGTGGAAGTGATGGCCTGTTTGTGTGGTTGGAGTTTCACCAGCTTCAGATATATTAGGAGTTGATCTGTTAATTTGGAGACAGTAACACTTGCATCCTTCTGTGTTTTGATTAGCTGGCACTGGATATTGACAAAGATGCTGAAGATCAAAATCACTATCTGGATGGCATGGTAAGACACTGAATGGTTTTGTGCTGACTTCAAAGGGTTTGCTCTATAGTTCGGAAGGAAAGGTGATCAAACTCTGGCAGTTGGGTTTAACAACCCAGCACATGTCAGGTAACATGAAAACGTTGTTTGGGGTTTTAAGTACATAGGCCAACAGAAACTTAAAAGCTCCCAATAAATGCTGGCTGTATTTGCCCAACATAATAATAACAGTTGACGCTGATAGGGAATAGTATAGTTCAGTAATTCAGATAGAAATTACTTACTAGGATTACAAACTGGCTCCTATGAAGATAATATAGGCCTGCCTGCCTTTGTCACTCCTGTTTGGGAGTTTTGGAAGTGTTTATAAATCTCTTGGGGGTACTTCTACAGTCTCTGAAATGCACTGGATTTATAGAATTGGAATCAGGGTTTGTAGTGTTATAATATCAAGTACTTTGTTCCTTTTTCTTCTCATTTTTAATTACCACGGGTATTTAAAAAACTGTGATTTTTGAGACAAAACCTGGCATGTCTTGTAAACTCTTTATTGCTGATTGAGAATCCAGGGACTTGGGGAATGGCTTGTGCAGCCAATACATGTGTTTGTGGCTGGAAAATCCCCTAGCTTCACACTTGATGTTAGCAAACACAAGCAAACTTTTTTGTCTCAAGATTTCTTCCGTTGCTTAATATAATGATTTTCATTCATATAATACAATTTAATTTCAAAGCATTTTATTTACTTAAAGTAATAAGCAAACTATTTGGCCACAAGACCAGATCTGTAGCTTAAAATGTGCCCACCAAGAATTTCTGGACTAAGAATATCTTCATGATTGAATTATCAAAGGAAGGGATTCCAATGCCAGTGTTTGAGGTTGGGATTGATGTGATCAAGCCGTTTCTGTGAGTTGGGAAGTGGTTGCCTGCACGTTGGAATCTGGGTGCTAGAGCATGTAACCCCTATAGAAGATAAGCACAATATTGAAAGCAAGGCAAGATGAACCTATTCAGGCTTCAGCAGAGCTGGCATTCAGACAGTGATGTCGTAGACAGTGTGTGGAAGGTCTAATGTATGCTTGTTTGCACTGGAAATGGAGGAGAGTGGAAAGTTAGGGTGAAGGAAGAGACCGTGATTATGGCAGAAAAGTTAAATGAGAGTTCTTAAATCAAGACAGTATGCCCATTTTTTTTATTTCCTTCCCTTCAACAGATGGACTTCAGATAAATATCTTGGAGTAAACCTGAGTTTAAGCTAGAAACTGTGAAATTAATATTGTCTCTTACCCTTTCTGACTTCCTTAAAGTTCTCGAATGATGTATTCATCTGACTGTCATTTAAAAAATACAGCAAATGATAAAGGTAGAAATCAGATAACTGAGCGAGGGGAAGAAAATAGCACAGCCAATAGGAGGGTTCTTGATGCAGAAGTAAGACCATTATCAAAGGTGCAAAGCTATTGGGTAAATAGGAGGAACCATGAAGATGCCTGCATAACTGGGGAGGTGGTATAGGAGGAAAAACTGATACAAGCTTTTCGTTGAAATCAAAATTGAGGAGGGGGGGACCAGCTGTCATCAAAAAGGAAAGGGTTATTGACAATTGGAAGGAAGTAAATTCTTTGTTTGTAGTCATGCTTAGACTGCATATTTCAGATGTAGTTCTGGGAGAGGTTTGAGAAAGTAGCCTTCCTTTCAAGCACTTTAAGAAAGGGGTAGGTTGGAGGTCATCAGAAACTAATTAGGGTGAACAGCAGCCATTTTTTAAAAAAGCTTTTGGGTAGGGAAATGTGATTTGTGACAATGGTGGTGCTGTGAGAAGATAGGAAAGGAAAGAAGATCGGGAAGAATTTGTATAGCAGGGTATTTTAGTGCCTTGATACAACATTGAGCAACATTATTACCTACTCTGCAAACAACACTACAGGAAGGAATTTCATTTTTTCTAATCTCAAAGGCTTGTTTACACATGCTGTCTGTGACTGATTCCATGTGGGGTCACTCTTATTCTGGAGTAAGGTTGCACATGGAATTAATTAGTGATAACTGGCTTTGACAGGCAGAGCAGTTACATGCAGCACTAACACATATTTTTGAGGTATGTTGTGTGACATGATGGGGGGGGAAAGGGAAAAATAAAGTTTTTCTGGGGGGCACTTGACATTATTTTGGTTAGGGTGCAATTAAAACCTTTAAACTTACATTAACATAGGGTGGGGGTTACACTCTGGGTAGTGTGTTACATTTATAATCCTGCCCTTCAGACATCCTTAACATGATGCTTTTCCCTGCATTTTGAGAGTAGCCAAACCTGTTTTGTCAAAAACTGAATTCTTGTATTTTTGTTTTTTTCTTAATCTAGACTTAGAATTTCTGTTACTGTCTGTTCTCATGGCAACTAATGACTGAAATAAGGAGTGCATTCCAGGGAAACTCTATGACTTGTGTTATAACTTTTCCATTTCACCTTTTCTCCCCCTCAGGACTCAGATTTCATGAGTGTGACCGGCCTGCTGACTGGGACCGGGAAGCGTTTTTCCAGCATGACGCGATCAGGGAGGGATAATCGCAAACTACTCTGTTATGTTTCTGTTGGACTGATTGTCGTCTTCTTCATCCTCTACTATCTGGTGTCGAAAGCACGGACTTGAGTGAGGTCCTTGTAGTGGAATTTTTATGGAATGGAAAGCTGTGACAATGTTAGACTTATTCAAAGTCACCCTCAGTTTATCCTGCTGAGAGATTTCTGGAGGATCAGATAACAAGTTGGAGTCCAAAGAAGCTGTTGTTGTGGGTGGTCTTGGACATCTGGGTCATATAATTTTTTTTCTTAATATAAGGTGAATGATTCATTCTAACCTTTTTTAAATTTATGTATGACACAATTTGATCTTGTTGATAGTCAGCTGTCATCTATTGTCTTGCTATCTATATCCTTCAGCCCTCTTCTATTGATTTGTCCATGGCCTCAGTGTTAACTTCACTGTCTTCCCATGCTGTTAATATGAAGGTTTGTGATCAAAGTAAATCCATAACCATAACATGGGCAATTGGCCTGTGCTCAGTTCACTTATAAAAGCAGAGCATGTTACAAAGCTGAATGTGAGCTTGGGAAGCAGACACTCCTGGATTTTAAGCCAAATCTTTTTTCTGACTTTGTTATGGGGATGCCAGTGGTATTTCTGCGGGTTAAAATAGTTTTGTATAGTGCTTTGAAGTTCCAAATTGCATGCAGGGTAGGCTTGGAGCTAAATACCTTCTTATTACATTGAACTACTGATGGACTTGGGGATAGAGTGAGATGTTACTAGGATAAGAGTTTGGTTCTACTGATTATTTTTGTAGTAGATGGGGAGAAGATTCTACAGGAGAGAGCTGGCTGGTGTTAGTATTTTCTTTGTATCATAAGTATGTGTGAGCGATTATAGGTATGCATGGCTTTCCCATTGCAACCATTAAAGACCTGAAACAGCTGAAAACCTAGGGAGCAGGGAAGTATTAATTTGCAGTGTCTAAAAGATGATTTGAAGTTGCTTTAGGCCTTGTTGTATGCCTTTGACAGTTGGTACTAGCATCCTCATAAATTAGCACTTTGGTATGTGGAGGAAGACATTTCTTACACAAACTTAGAGTTTAGGTAACAGGGTAAAACCTGGCCCCATCTTTTTTAATAGGAAAAGGAGGAGCAAAGGATTTGACCAAAAGCGTGATTTTAAAAACAGAAAGTCGCTTCAAATACTCAACTTGGTTTCTTCTCTATAGCCGGTCTGGTAGATATTTAGCATACCACTAGTTGTATCTTTCTGGAATAAATATATGAAAAAGTATTGTCTGTTTAAAGCAGTCACTCTCTAGAGTGTTCAGGACTTTGAGATGCAACGCACGTGTAAAGCCCTTATTCTACTATAAAGCTGCAGTATTCTGTACATTAGAAAGCTGTGCAAATAAAGGCTGTCTCGGCCACTCCATCTTATGGTGTACCATATGCTAGTTAAGAATGTTCCTTGAAAAACACCATTCTTCTCCCCTTTCATGGAATGAACTTGCCATTACTTCACCCTTCATTCTGTTCCAGGCCTGTTCTCTCATATCTGAATTATTTATATCTTCCTTCAATTCCATCAAATCATGTATAACTAGTAAAAATACTGCTATAGTAGGGTTTGGGCCTTTTAAAAAAATAGAATAAAAAAAACCCCCTTATTGTACAAAGCAACTCTGCCATAAATGTTTTATAGTGTGTATTTTGTCTGAAATTGTTTCCCTGTAAGGATTCTTAGCTCGTTTTATGCCAACCAAATTGCTGGACCAAAAAACTATTCCTTTATGTACTCAGTCTTTCTGTATCCTGGCCAATTTATATTCTCTAATTCCTAGGTACGTTTTTCAGCCTTGACAAGTGATGTGCAGTACATCTGAGGAGTTTTTTTCTGACCCAAGAACACTGACAAAACTGGATGTAAATCTGAAATAATAAATCAATCTCCTCCTCCTCACCTTGAATCTTGATCTCATAATAAGCTAGCTAACCTACTTCAACTTATCTTGTTCCAGAGTTTTGAGACAGAAGGTGCAGTGGGTATGTGTGGAGAAGGAGGCTGTGGTGACCCAATTCTGTTTTGCATTGTTTTCTGTGGCAAGACTTGGCAGTTCTGAGCTCATTTTACATTCTGAAGGGTAAATTGCTTGGCTTCATTCTGTAAAGTAAATCCCTCCTGATGAAAGGATTCCAAATCACTTCAGCAGTGATCTGCTTATTTTGCTTTTTGTGCTGAAAATAAAGTTGTACTGTTTTAAGAGACTCTGTATCGGTATTCTTCTTTCAGAATTTCTTACAAAAATCAAAAACCAGTTTCTAAACATTTTGTACCCAATTTATACTGAGGTTCTACAGGGTCTGATACCTTGGAATTCATTTGATGCAATAACACCTCCAGCAACCAATACAAAAACTATGGGCAAAAATCAACTGCTTTGGGCCAGAAAACAATAAGCAGGGATCTGGGTTTTCCATTCACTATGGAAAAACGTGGGTTTTTCTCCTCTTAAAGGGTGGGGGAACATGGAAACAGCAAGTTTCCTCTTGCAGGCTGGCAGAGTTCCAGCCTGCTGGGGGCTGGGGGGAGTGGGAGGAGGGCAATCAGGCAGGAGGTGGCATGTGCATGTGCACACAAGCACGTGGCAGCCAGACAGAATAGAAGTCAGTTCCCACAGCTTCCTCCTAGGTAAGTCTGGTGTGGGGCAGGGGGAATTGAGGCTCCCATAGCGAAGGAGGGAGGGAATTAGGCAGGGCTGGCACTGGGTCACTGCCCAGCCAGAGTGGTGCATGGGGCTTGGGACCCAGCAGGACGGGAATGTGTGGCTGCAGTTGGGGTGCAGGACGGAGCCACAGGTGGCTCATCCAGGGGCGGTGGGGAGACCTGTAGTGCCATGGCAAGATGTTCCCTGCTGACCCAGTAGTATTGGAGGTGGCAATGTGGAGTTGTGCCCCTGCTGCTGCCAGGTGGGCAAGGAGCACCTCGCCATGGCGGTGTAGGGGTCCCAGTGGCAGCATTGAGCCTCCCTGCCCCTCTCTGCCCTACTGCACAGGGTCTTGCCCACCATGGCAGCCTGTGGGGGAAAGGTAGCAGGGCAGGGAGCCCTAAGCCTGCAGTAGGCAGCTCACATCTCTTCCCCCGCTCCATAGCCCTGGCAGCTGGGGACCCCATCTGGGGGGACGGGGCTGCAGGCTGTGAGAGGGGCACTGGCAGGGGAGTTAGGGCTGTGGGTGGGGAGTGAGGGGCAGCGGCAGGGCCAAAGCCCTGTGTGTCGCGAGCGAAGGGTACCAGCAGAGCTGAGGGGCTGTGGCTTAGGAGTGAGAGATGATGGCATGGTCAGGACACTCGCGTGCCAGGGCTGCTCAGTGCCACAAAGCAGTGGTGAGGGACAGCCACAATGACCTCCATCCCAGTGAGCGAAGGGGGCGGGGTGAACTCTAATATTCCATGATATAAACCCAAAATTAAACACTAAAATATATAGGTATTTAGAATTTATTTTATTATACTGATTGAGGCACTGGTAGGCTTCCAAATTGCTTTAAAATTAAAAATGCAGATTTGGGATTTTTTTTAATAAGATAATTAGCAAATTTTTTAAATTAGAATTTGTGGGTTTTTTGTTAAACAGCAAAAAACAGGATCCCTGGTAATAAGATATACCTTGGCAGGTTCTGCATATAAGAGGACACCAGGAGGAAGAACAGTTGTCCTGTATGGCCTTCTGAAAGATCATTTTGCTTATCCAGCACCTTCTTGTTCAGAAGTCATTAAAGGAGGTGGTCAGGAACATGTAACAAAATGTTATTGCTTCTCTCTTACTTTAAATTCCAATTCATGATTTCTCCTATTATGTGATGTTTTTTATTTACGAATGAAGGGGCAGGATGCTGAAAGACCAGCAAAATCATTACAAATAACCACAACCGTTTCCTATTACTAAAGGAAAATAAAATTAAACAATGGCTACTTCAGGTATGACCTGTCTCTGTGCCTTTTGTGGAAAGCTTTTTAACAAGAAATTGTACTTAGAGAATGGGTTTTTCTCTTGAATGGAACAAATCTATCTTATTCCCCAGATAAAGAACAAGCCCTGTCTCAGGGCAAATGAAAGTTTATAGATGGGTAAAGAATTCCATCGAAAGGTCGTTCCTTTATATCTGCTTTCATTTTTATCTTCTCTCCCTTTTATCTGCCAGCCTGATGCTGCAAGCCCAAAGGCCTGAGGCCTTCTTCCCTGGCGGGACATGAATGGTCTCAGCTGCCCCAAAACTAAAAACACATTTTGGCCATACCAACTCACCTGTCCTCACATACTTCCCCAGGGCTCCCATGAAAGCCTAGCTTAGAATATTGGGGCTTGGCATGGCATGCCAAAAACCCAAGGGTTTTGGATCTCCATAATATACATGGGAAAAGGGGTGTCGTCTTAACCAAGCCTCATTAAATTGGAAGTATTTAAGTCTGCTACTCAAAAGATCTTCAGGTAGCTTTCTTGACAAATAAATTAATTAGTGTTTAATTGTAATGTTTCTTTCTGTTGACACGGTTTCACTTATGTCTCCAGGAATACATCATCTGAACCATCTGGCATATAATAAGCGAAACTGTTGGTTTCTTAAATTATAATTCCACTCCAGCTTTGGCGTTGCAGAGTTTCTCGCTGATGTCTGTTGAAAACTTGGTGCAGTTATAGCTATCCAGTTATGAGGAGTGCTTCTCAGGACTGTCATGTCTGCTTTTAGTACTGTTATCAAAGTGTTTGCTTTCAGAGATGAACAAGACAAGCTATAATTAGTGCTGCAAAGTGGTGGGAGAGAAGCAAAGTATGGTGTCTTGCTTGATTCAAACACATTTTTATTTTCCCCCTCTTATTATTTCATGGAAGAAGGAAAAAGTCTTTCAGGCCATTGTGGATAAAATATGACTCTTGTGCCTTTCATTGGGTTAGCATCTTTGAGGCTCAGGCTAGGCAGTGTCTTGAGTTCATTGTTAAGCTAAGGGTCAACTCTAAGCTTAAGGCTTTGCTGGAGCTGACTGAGTCTTGATTTGGTCAAGCTGGGCCTGACTGCCCTATTGCCTGCAGGTGGCTAAACATTAAGATACAAGCCCAGTCCCCCAGAAAGCTGTTGGTTCTTGACTCTTCACAAACCTAGAGCTGTGCCTGGCTTGTAGCATCATCTCTCTGCTCCCGTCCCCTTTTCTTGCCCTTGCTTCCTGCTTCAAGTCTTGAGCCCCCATCCCTCCTAGCTCCAGTTCTGGTTCCTATTCTCACTTTGGCTCCATTTCCTGCCTGGCACTGTGCAAGCCCCCAGTCTTGTCTCCAGCCTAGTTCCTAGTCAGGCTTTCAGCCCTCACCCTTACCTTGGACCTCCTGGTTCTGGCTTCCAGCACAGTATTGGACTGAGGTTTCTGGCTCTGAATTCTCATCCTGATGCTTCACGGCCCTGCTCTCCCACTTAGTGACCAGGATATTAACCATTAGGTCAGACCTACACCCTGATTCATAACACTCATGAATGTGTAATCTGTTAATGTATATGCAATGGGTTTGTAAACTCACCCCCCTCCCCACTGATGACAAGAACTTTTTAGAGCATCCCTAAAGCTAACTTTAGTTTAAACTTGTTCTGTTTATTATTCAATGTTCCCTCCCTCCTTAAGTTCCACTAAGACTCAAGAGAAGTCAAAGTCATGCTTCAAAAGGGTCCAGGCACCCTTCTTTGCCTGTATAAATCTTCCCATTTTGAAATTAGTTTATTTAAAGTCAAACAGTCATCTAAGACAAGTCTTTTCTCTTGTTCTCAGATATCTCAGGAGTGGTGCCATCCTGAATGTGATAAGGAAGGGTATATCTATGCCATGTCCCTGGCCTATCCAGAAAGAAGTGTCCTTGCTCTCACAGGCTAAACCCAGAAATGTGGTAATAAAGCCACCCTAAAGACATCCCATGTGGCTGGTCTTAAGCACACTAGACAGAGGTCTGTTAGGCAGCCATAGGGGATGACCCTGGAAATGCAGCAGTGAAGCTGCTCCATGTTTTGTTGTATGTGAGTAAAAGGTGAAATGTTTTGGGGAGCGTCCCTTCCTGGATACACCCAGCACAGTGTAGGCATATCTGAAGTTGCTTGGACGTTGTCTATGAATATTTTAAACATGTCCAGCTTCTTAAAGCAGCAAGTGTTCATAGCATCAAATGACCTTTCTAGGAAAGTCCTATTCACATAAGAAGGCCCCATTAGGGAATTAGGGATATGAGCAGGGGCAGGCAATTATTTCAGGTGGAGGGCCACTTACTGAGTTTTGGCAAGCCATCAAGGGCCGCATGACAAGCAGCCAGGGGCAGGTAACTATTAATTTTCTAAATTTTTTAGGGGCCCCGCAGCCCAGATAGAATGGCCTGGCAGGCCGCATCCGACCCACAAGCCACATTTTGCCCATCCCTGGATGTGAGGCTTACTTTGAGGTCCAAAATACAGTAAAACCTGTGTTAACTGGCATTTTAGTAACTGTCATTTCTATTATTCAGACATGGTGGGGGAGCTTGCACGTGGCTGCTGCCGCCACCCACCACCCTGCACTGCTGCGTCTGGCCAAAAACCCCTGCCTCTGATAACTGGGATTTTTATATAACCAGCACAGCGTGTTCCTCACTCATGCCAGTTAACACAGCTTTTACTGTATATGCAAAGAAGCTTCCTTCAAGATATCAATGTCCCCTGAAGCATTTAAAGGATTACATGATATTTTGCCTTCAATGACAAGTGCTCATTTAGCTGTTGAAAAAGCCTACTATAAAATATTTTCCACCCACCAATGTTTTTCTTTAAACTTCAAGGATGAATACTTCGGAGTCTTCATAAAAATCACTTTAAAATAAGAATTTTGTAGAACATCTAACCTGATGCATTTTCTTCCCTTTGGAAAGGGAGAAGTTGACACACCTTTTTTTCTTGATGATGTATTTTAGATTCTGACAAAAACTTGCTTTGAGGGAACTCTATACCAGGCTTCAACTTCATGCAAAGATGTGCTTTGATTTTCTTGATGAGACAGTCTTACTGGACTTCTGTTCCTCTGACAAATATCCTCATATTTAAAACTTATAGCGTGTACAGCTTTTAATGAAAAAGGTCCATTAAATATTCTATACAAAACATAAACCTCCATAATTAATGCTTGAATACATCTTTCAAAATATAGCATAAAAGAAATGCCATAAATATTTTCAGACAGAAAGGAAATTGTAAGTGCTCTTTGAGTA